GAGGGCCTCCCCAATCCCAGAATATGGCTTGGCCCTTAGCCCTGTGCCCGGGCACAGTTCCCAGGGACTCCTGCTCAGAGTCCTTTTACCGGCCTCACTGGCCTCTTCCTGGCTCCCCTTCGCTCCCCACCATGTCTGCAGTCCGACATAGCTAGCCTCAAAGTCTTCTGCCTCCACCTCCCTCCAAGCTGCTCCGCCTGCCCCTTACCCCTCCCCTTTCTTCTGCTGCCCTCCCTGCTCTGAGTGGCTGCCTGGCCCCTACAGCCTGGAGAATACCTCCTCATCCCCAGGATCCTGCTTGGCTAGCCCCAGCTCTGTGAAGCCTTCCCTGATGGCCCTGAACGGTAAGGCTGCCACCACTGCTCCCAGGCCCCTGCTCTAAAGTGCCCACATTCTTTCCTTGTTTTCTCTATTTCCCCTGTAGGCTGTGAGCCCCTTGAGGGCAGGTTCAGGGATTGTTTGAGGAGGCCTCCGAGTTTCATAGGATGTCGCAGCTGGAGAGGACCAGAAGAGAACATAGTTGGGCCTCTGGACTCAAGGACAGAGCTCAGGGCGGGGGGGTTAGGGGGGTGGGGGCTGGAACCTGCACAGCCACCTCAGGTCAGCAAAGAGGAAGGCTACAGGCACCAAGGAGCCTCTGTCTCTAACAGAGTGGGTATGATGGAGGGCTAAGAAGGCCACGGTCATCTGAGCTGAGCTTCAGCTGAAGCATGGCATTGCCAGGAAGCTGGAGAGAGGCCTGGGCAAGGATAGGAGTGAACCCAGGTCTTTAGAGAAGAGGGGTAACTGTAGAGCACAGATGGGCCCTTGGGCCATGTTCCTGGCTCCCAAAAGGAAGCCCCTGGAGTGGGGCATTCCCTAGCCACAGCTGCCTGCTGCCAACATCCCCCGTGCCTCCTGCCAGAATGAGGTCTGATTATTCCTCTAATTAGGCATCAAATGATAGCCCATGTCTTGTCACACGTAATTGAACCCCTGCTGACTAGTTTTAGTAGGAGTGGCCAAAATAATTGTCCATGAAAACGTGTTTCCGAGATGTTGGGCTTTGGGAATCTGAACACCCTCCACACCACTCCCCATCCCCATTAAGTGTTTGTATAACTCTGGACCGGAGGGCAGAGCTCATGCAGGCTCCTTTCATCTTCTAGGGCTGAGGGAAGCTCTATCACACCAGCAGCAGGACAGAGGCTCCTGCAAGCCATGTCTCGAGCAATTCCAATCCCTGTTCCGCTACCTACACACTGTGGGACCTGGGCAAGCCAACTCTACTGCACTATACCCCACTTACCTCATCTGGTGAATGGGGATGGGGTGGCAGAGGCTGAATTTGGGGATGTCTGTGCAGATTCTGGAAGAACACACCGACCTCCAAAAAATGGAGACCAAATTCTAAATTAGAGTTTTTCTTTGACATTGTAAATCCCTCAGAGCACAGAGTCAGGGGAGGAAATCTGGAGGAAAGCCATTAAGAGTTACAAAATCACGGAACCACAAGCCATCCCAGCTCCTTTATTGAAGAGATGGGGAAACTCAGACATGAGGAAGTGGAGAGAGAGCCCCAGAGTCCTTGATGGAACCTAGATGTCCAGACTTCCTGCTTAGCTAGGAAGTACTCTAGTACATCTCTGCCTCTGCATTTTTATGTTGTCTTGAGGTGGGAAGAATTGGCAACCCCACCATCAGAGGGAGACATTGTATTCAAAAGAATCAGCCAAGCAAGCCCATGACAGTGACAGCATCATTAAAACCAAAACCAAAAACCTGTTGCCATAGAGTCAATTCCGACTCATAGCGACCCTCTAGGACAGAGCAGAACTTCTCCATAGGGTTTCCAAGGAGCAGCTGGTAGATTCGAACTGCTGACATTTTGGTTAGTAGCTGTAACTCGCTGTAGCTCTTAACCATTGTGCCACCAGGGCTCTGAGAGCATCATTACGGGCTACTAAAACTTTTTTTTGGATGCTTGCTCCTCTGTGGATTACAAATGTAGAGAGGAAATTTACCAGTTCTGTCTTCAACATGAATTTGGGCTCTATCAGCTATGAAAAAGAAAATACATGTTTGTCCTCGGGTAATGTGCTTACTGTAATAGGTAAATGAGTTTAAGGACCCTCTCTCTGAGACGGAGGCCCAAGGCACTACAGCCTGAGCACCCTCATTCACTCCCTACCCCTCACAAGCATCTGGTCCCCTTTGCTGAAGCCTGGGAGCTCCTGGAAGCCACAGGACTCAGGATGCGGGTTGGGTCAGGTGTGGCCAGGCCAGGGTACGTTTCTGAGTTCCACCACAAGATCGCTCCTCTTTGTCTCCTTGTGAGGCAGGGGCCAGAGTGTGTCTGCTCACGCTCTCTCCTTCTCAGAGGCATCAGTTCAAAATGTGGCGTGGGGGTGGGGAGGAAGAGTGGGAGAAAAGGCCCCAGCTTGGTTTCGTTCTATTTATTTTCCTCAAGGGGTAAAAACTCTGGAAAAGAGCGTGATTAATTCACCGATCCCCCGGGGGGACGAGCAGCTTTCCTGGACTGTTTGGAAACTGAAGTCAGGGAAGCAGCTTCCAAGGCAACTGCTACCATAGTAACAAGAGGGCCAGCCTTGGGGGGGACTCACTCTTCGTTCCCCTCCAGACCTGACGCAGCTGGAGCAGTTGGCAAGGGACCAAGGCCCTGATGGTCATGGGACTGGGTCTGGGGAGGGGCAGTCAGCCAGGAGGGAGAAGGGCCCAGAGCTCAGGCAAGTGGACATGTGGAGGGAGAAAGACTGGATGATCCCTGTGCCCAGGTGCTCTCAGGGTCCGGTTGAACCAGGACTGGGGCTGGGGCCATGGCCAGCTAACTGGATTCTGAGAAAAAAGGCCCGAGACACTTGGCTGGCTGGGACTAGCTCTCTCCTTCTAAGGCCCACCCAAGCGTCAGCCCTAGAGCCAGCAAACTGGCTTCCACAGTCCCAGGTCCCATGTCTGGAAGGGGCTCTGAGGTCCTAGTATCTGCCACATCTGCCGCTGCCAGCAGAGCCAGGCACATACCCTGGTGCTCAAAAAGGGTGAGGGACTTCCCAAGGTCACCTAGCAAATAGTGGCAGAGGCACGGCTAGAACCCAGGGCGAGAACCCAGGGTCCTTGGTCCCCAACCTCAGGCTCTTTCCTGGGCACCACAGCTGTCCCTCTGGGACAGGGACTCCAGCCCAGAAAGTGAGGGCAGCCTGTCAGGAGGGGGATCCCACAGAGGGTCTGCGGCCTGGCCCATCTTGAAAGCCCCAGGTCCATCTCCACAACACATAAGCCCTTCCGCAGCGGGTTCTCTGAGGCAAAGAAAGAGAGAAAGCTCATCTCCATCAATGGGAGCATGAATTGAATAATTCTTCCCCAGCAGGTAACAATAAAAATAAATTATAATAGCTAACATTTGTTGAACATTTACTGTGTGTCTAGAACTGCTCTAAATACTTACCATTTATTAATTCACAACAGCACCATGAGGTAGGCACTATCACCCCCAATTTATAAATGAGAAAACTGAGACCCTCAGAGATTAAGTGACTTGTCCAAAGCCCACAGCCTTGGCAACCAACAAGTGGTGGAGCTGGGATTTGAATTCAGGTAGTGCAGCTCTGGGGTCACCCAGGCTTGGTCAGGAATTCCTGTTCCACCATTCCTAGCTGTACCGCCTTGGACAGGCTATTTTTCCTTTCTCTTCTTGCTTTCTCATGTTAGGTGGTATAAAATAATAGCACCTACCTCATGGGACTGCTGTGAGAATTAAATGAGATAATGCCTGTAAACTTCTTAGAAAGTACCTGTTACTTAGTAAGTGCACAACAAAGCTAGCTAAAAACAAAACCAAGGCAGGCAGAGTGGTCCATAAGCAGAGCCATGAAGTACGAGAATGGCTTTGCCAGGCAGACTAGGGTGGGAGGAGGGGCACAACTTGAGCAGAGGCACAGAAGCAGGAGACGGGGCTGGAGCTGCAGGCTGGACAGGGTGTGGGCCAGGGGTGAGGGGTGGAGAGAGCTTGGTCCAGGAAGCCCCTTGAAGTCACATCCCTGTGGGGCCAACCTGGACAAGAACTTATCCAGGCTGGGGCTGGCATCTGGAGCTAGAACTTATATCCTGGTTCTGGCCCCTCAAGGGCTGGGAGGCAGGGCAAAAGGCCTACTTTTCTAGCTAATCCCGCACGAGGTAGATGAAGGAGCGATGGGAGGGTTACTGTAAAGCAAGACTGTCAACAAAAGGTATGCTCCCCTCAATATGGAGGCATTCCGGTGTAAGACAGCTGGTAGCCTGCCCCATCCCCTGCCCCCAGACTTAAGAACCTCTAACCCTACCTCCCCTCTCTGCTCTCTCCAGGAAGAAAAGCTGCCAGGAGCACCCAGTCAGCTCCTGACACTTAGACCTACTCTTGCCACCTCCCTGGGAACATACAAATGTCCTTCCTAATCCAGCCCCACCCTGCCCCTCTCCAGACCGGTTCTGAGGATTACACGGGACAATGTACACGAACATTCTTTGCATGATGTACATGAAGGCTGTGGATGTGGTACCATTTTTCTTTGTTGCCAACTCTGGCAGACAAGCACTGTCCTGGGCACACAATAGGTTTTTAACCAAGGCTCAGTAGCGCTTTTAGACAGAGGGCACATTTGCTCCTGCTTGGGGTGGATGGGCCAGGCAGGGTACAGGGTACATCTACTAAAGCACTTTTTGAGGTTGGTGTGATGGTTGCTGACACCACTTCTTCCACTTGATGGGGAGATCCTGAAAAGCAGAGGCTGTTTCTGACTCATCTTTGGGTCATGGAGCAGAGTAGGTAACTGATCAATGTTTGATTAATTTCCTCACCTAAAAAAGCAAAGTAATGCTATTTCCTTCGCTCTGTTTGTCGATCAAATGAGATGCTATCTTTAGAGGTCCTCACAAGGGATGCCTTCTCCCACCTGGCTGGACTCAGCCCCAGTCCAGAAGTCCTGTCTCCTTCTCAGGACTATAGGTGAAGAAAAGAATACCACGGCTAAAATTGAAAGTTTTATTAAAACACACACAATGTATAATAGCATCTCTGTGTAGTATAAATGTCTGTCTGACATGTGCAAACCTATTTTCTTTACTTAATTCAACAGCTTAGTTTATTTAACAATGGGTGAACCTGCGTGTTCTCTGGCAGTAGGCACCACGGAGCTCGGAACAGGGCAGCGGCCGCCTCTGATGCAGGCCAACTGGTCTCCCATCTGGCTCCACGCCAGGCACCCTGCCCAGACCCGGGCCACCTCCATACCATACCTGAGGGACACTGCAGCTGCTGCTGACACTGGGACTGTCTCTCAGTTGCCTATGATAGTCTAACAGCTTAAAACCAGTTAGAATAATTAGGAAAAGTGGATTAAAACCCAAATGCATAGACATTCAGGGAACAAAAGCAAGCCATTACACACTCTGGAAAGCCCGTGGGCTTGCAGTGGGAATTTAAAGTCCCATCTTTGCTGGAAAAGCGCAGTTTAAAAAAAATACCCCCCTCCCTTTTAAAATGAAGTAATACTGACTTTAGCAGCAATCACAAACAAGGAAGAGGATGATAAATGAGGGACACATTTCAGTCACGGCAAAGAAAGATTATGTGCTTCTCTGTGCTACAGACTGGAAGACTGCTCTGGCTTGCCTGATGCAGAAGGCTCCCTGTCCTCCCCTGACTTCGGGGGATGGCTCTGCTCAGTCAAGGGAGAGGACGGACAAACAGGACATCCATCCGGAGGACAGAGGAAGGTGGGAAAGACCGCCAGAGGAGGGTGACAGTGCAGAGAGGGAAGAGGCACACGTCAGCAGCCCGTCAACTGACGCTTCTCGAAGCTGCCTCCCTGAAGGCTGCAGCCCCAGCTGCCGGCCGCTGTGAGAGCAGGCTGGATCTGCAGGTGGTGAGCAGGTGGGCAGGAGCCCAGCAAAGAGATACCCCCACTGCCACCGGCGATTATGCAAAGTGACAAGTGATTGCTTTCCTTTTCAATGACAACTCCTTTGGAAAAAGCTTTTTCCTCAAGGACCCTGGGGAACTGGGGGACTGGGTGGGAACCTCAGGGCCTTTGTGGAGGGGAAGGTCTGAATGGGACTGCACAGCAGGTCCCTCAGCTTGCTCTGCAGACTCTGACCTCACAGCTTTCCGGGGGTTATACCTGGACAGACCTAGGGCCTAGAAGGGGTGACTGCGTGGGTCACTTGCATGGGTCAGAGTGCTGTGGGTGTCGGGCACAGTCCCGCATCTGCACTGCGGCCTGCCTGGGCCAGGGCCCGCCGGCGGGCCAGGCGTGACTTGCAGGGAGGGGAAAGCTTCACCGAGCAGAGGCCCTCAGCCAGTGCCACGGACTCTTCAGCCAGCTGGTTCTCATTCTCCTCGTGCTGAGACAGCTGGCGGTTCAGGGCGATGGCCTCAGCGGCGAAGAGAGTCAGGTCCATGGTGCTGCTATTCCTGTGGAGGCAGGGCAAAGGCACAGAGGAGAGGGAGGCAGGACTCAACTGGGGTCAGCCAGGCCAGCTCCTGGATGCTCCCATTAGCTGCTGCAGTTCTAGCCTCCTACCAGATTTTTCTGAGCCAATGTGGGCTACTCTTTCCAAAGCAATTCTTGCTTGTGTGTGTAATTTTACTTCACTGAGGCTGCCTTGGCTTCTCTGGGAATGGCCTCTCAGCCTCAAGGACAGTCCTGGACTTCACAGTTGGGGCAAATGCCACCATCTATTCAGAAGCCCCTCCTCTGACTCCCACAACTCTGCAGACATCCCTCCCGGAGGAAGGGCCACAGCAGATCAGACTCAGTGTGTAGATCCCTCTCCCCGTCAGGGCAACAGCGCCAAGAGCAGGGGCTGTGCCTCATGCCTGTGTCCTTAGAACCCAGCCCGTGGCTAGCATATAACAGGCATTTTGGGTTTGCTGAATAAATCTTCTAAGGTGGATCTGAGGTTTGAAACTAGTCACGGGCATCTTGGGTCAAAGTTAATTGAGACTATAAAGGTGCAAGATAGACTTCCCTGCATAACTTCTAAACTGGCCATGAAGTTGGTTTCCATAGGGGTTTCCCACAATGCTTTAGCCCTGGCTGCTTTGGGAATACAGCAGTGCTCACTGGAAACACAATCTAGTTGTTAAAAAGGCTCTAGAGTCAAACAGATCCGGGTTGAAAGTCCAACTCCCAAGGCTACTGTGTGGCTTTGGGCAAGTTAACTTTACTCTTGTTTTCTCATCTACAAAATGGGGATAATGGTAGTACCTCTCTTTTAAATTTATCACGCAGATTATGAATATATGTAAAGCCCTTAGTACCATGTCTGGCATGGGGTGAATATTTGGTACCTGGTAGCCATGACTATTAGTGTACATCTCTTAGTATGTGTGACAACTGGTCCCACAGCCTTACGGTGCTCCTGACACCTGCTACTTTTACCAACCCATGGCAGCAGAAGAAACCAAGGTAGCGCCTGTCTTTGGGCTATAAACGGTGATTTCCAGTTATAGGTAAGCCTAATTCTGTGCATTCAAGTGGATATGCAAAACAGGTTATTTCTCTTGCAAGCAGTGCAAATAGGGGGTTGAAAGGTGTTGGAGGGGAGGGGAAACCATCCTGGAGGAAGAGAAGAGAGGGAGGCAGATATACAGTAGAGGAAAGAAACGGTGGGTAGGGAGATGGGAGGTCCGAGAGCCCCTTGAGGAGGATGACACCTGAGCCTTGAGATGGGCTCCCCGAACCCCATCTGCACCATGTCTGAGAGCTTGAGGGAAAGCCAAAGCCAAGAAAGGACGGATGTCAGGTGTGGTTGCAGCGTTTACCTCTGGAGCACTTGCGGCGTGGGGAGTCCCCTTTCCGGAGCTTGCTAGAATGGGAAGGATAGTTGTGTGGGTAAGCGCTGCTCCCTTCTTCTAAGAGCTGCCCCTACCCAAGCCAGCACAGAGTTGGAAGGTTGCTGCAGGCTCTCGGCCCAGCACAGGGACTAGGCAGTGCTGGCCCGCAGGGTCATACCTTCCAAGGAGAGAGCAAGAAAGGTATGATCTGAAGTCACAGCCCTCAGCACAGCTCTCCCTGCATGGAGAGGCCCCCTCTCCTCTGCCTGGCAAAGTCCTGATCATCCTCCAAGACCCAGCTCAAGGGTCACTTCCCCTGTGAAGCTTCCCCTTCCCTGCCACCTCCCTACACCAGTTCCAAGCAGAGGCAGCTCCTTGCCCCTTTGTGCCCCAGCACTTTTTATAAGCATTCAGTACACTGTTCTGTCATGTATTCCCATCTACCTCTCCCCACTAGAACATGAAGACAAGGACTGGGTCTTACTCATCCCTGTACGGCCAGTATCTGGCATGTGCCTGGTGCTCAGTAAAGACAAGTAACTCTTGGGTGGCTGGAAATTTGCCACTTAGAGACTCTGCCTTGGATCAGGTCCCTGTCTGTAACATGGGGCTGGCAACCACTTGTCACCTTCCACTAGCCAGGTCACTGTCACTGGCTAGGGCCTTGCAGACCAAGGACACAGTCACTCACAGGAGGGCCTGGCAGATCTCATGCAGGGGCAGAGATTAGGTATTGTGACTAAGCAAGTAAGATTTCAAAAATGATGCTAGTGAAGGCTGAATCCTTACCCTGAGGGAAAGCACCACCACGTGCCTTTCGAGCCAGCTGCACACAGACACCCAGGACCACGAGGAGAACTTATTTGCCCCCAATGCAGTCACACAGCAAGCAGGTAGCAAGGCCTTGCTTCCGGGTGACATTTTTATATAAGGGGATAGTACTACAGGCCCCAAATGACAATGCCATGCTGCTTCCTGGGTTGTGTGTCTCTGTCAATAGTGGGATGTATGTGCCAAACCCCTGGAAATCTCTGTTCACTCCAGAGAGGCATCGGTCAGCTAGGGGCTTGGTCTCTGACCTGTGAACGGAGCTCAGTCTGGGACTAAGTTAGGAGTCAATTTACTCTGCATGTATAGGCACTGAAGCTGCTGTACGACTGTCAGCCACTGGGGCTGGCGTCAGTACCTGCTGCTATGAGAGCTTCCTCATGGCCATGCTGCAAGCCTGTGGAGGTGAAATGCCACCCCTCCCCGGAGTCACTCACCCCCTGCAACCATGGGTGCTGCAGAACCTGGGCAGCGCTGAGTCTCTGCTTTGCATCTCGAACCAGGAGCTTGGAGATGAGGTCTTTGGCCTCACTGGAGATATGTGCCCAGTCCTTGTCAGGAAACTCATACTTCCCTTCCTGGATGCTCTCAAAAAGCTTGTTCTAGGGAAAGAAGATTGCTCTGAGGTCTCAGTGGCCAGGAAATGGACAGGATGTGCCTGTCATCAGACTGATCACCCTGGATCCAACTGACCTCAGTTGAAGTTGCAGCTCATGGCTAAATCATTACTACACAGAACATCTTTGGCTGGCCAGGGTGGCTATGCTACTTAGAGGGCTAAATGGGTGATAAGTGGGGAATATCACCTATAGGACAAAGCCCAAATTCCTTGGTCCATCATACAGGGCCCCCATGATCTGGCTCCTGGCAGTCTCTCCAGTCTCACCTCCCACCATCATCAGCCTCACACTTCCACTCCCTCCCTCGCACACATATGCTCAGCTGTTTCCTACCTCCGTGTCTGCTTGTGCTGTTCCTTCAACTTTTATTTCTTGACTTCCTTCCCCTAGGGAACTTTTATTGTTGCTGTTAGTTGCTGTCAAGTTGGTTGTGACTCATGGTGATCCCATGTGTGCAGAGTAGAACTGCTCCATGGGGTTTTCAAGGCTGTGACCTTTTGGAAGCAGATTGCCAGGCCTGTCATCTGAGGAGTCTCTGAGTGGGCTTGAACTGCCAAACTTTCAGTTAGTAGTCCGGTGCTTAACCATTTGCACAATCCAGGGACTCCCTGGGGAACTTTGTCTCATCCTTTAAGCCTCAGCTTAGGTATCATCTTGCCTAACAATCCTCCCCAGACGTCTAGTTGGGCTGAGGGCGGCTTATCTGTTTTACCTTGTTCTATTGAAATTATCAGTTTACTTATCCTTCTCACCCACTGGACCAGTGGTTCTCAGTTGGGATGATTTTACCCCAAGGGGACATGTAGCAATGTCTGGAGACACTTTTGGTTGTCACAACTGGCAGGAGTACTACTGGCATCTTGTAGGTAGAGGCCAGGGATGCTGTTAAACATCCTCTAATGCACAGGACAGCCCCCACAACAAAGAATCATCCAGCCTTCAATGTCAGTAGTGTGGAAGCTGAGAGTCCTTGCACGAGCCATGAGTTCCTTGAGGGAAGAGATCATGTCTCGTGCACCTGGCAGCCTGGCCAACTCTGGGTCTGGCCCAGAACCAGTGCTCAGTGAGTGCCTCTTGAAATAAAGAGAATCCTGGCTCCTTCCAGCTCACTTTGTCCACTTCCCACAAAGAGAAAGGCAGGGACTTGCCAGGGGTGACAAAACGAGTGGATGGTGCAGGGCTTAGAGTCTAGGTCTCACCCCAGCCTGGTGCCCTCTCACACCAACTACCCAGCTGTCTCGAGCATGTTTCCTGTATCTTTCTACCTTCAGAAAATAGAATATGGAGTTTGTCCATGCAGGTGACATGTCTGGCCCTGTCAAGCGGATGCAGGCAACGGAATGTTCTCCAGCAGAGAAATGGTCTCAGGCTAATGACCACCAGACCCATGGCTGTGATGGTTGTCCTTACCAGCTCCTTACTTGCTTGCTTCTGCGGGGCTTTCTCTGTGTTCTGACTGAACTTCCCAACAGCTCTCAGAGGCTGGCAGGACGGGTATCATTATCCCCTTTGGCAGATGAGGGAACAGATGCCCAGAAGGGTGAACTCCCACCAGTGCCAATGGCAGACCAGGGCTTGAGCCCCTATCTTCTCATTCATAGCCCAGTGCTCTGTCCTCTATACCAGGAGCCAAAGGGGTGAGGCTGGCCTCGGTGTGCTCATCAGTAGAATAGGAAAGTGGGCTAGGTAGAACTCTTCCTCCACTTTAGGGCCTTTAGTTTTGGCCTCCCATCCCTGGTTCTTATTCTCCTCTTTTCTCACCATCTCTTGGAATCACTGCCCTTGGATAGGAGAGGACAGGGACACTATAAAAATCCTTTCAGACCAGGAACAATCCCCAAGCCCAGTCCTGCTTGGCATCCCCACAACCACGCTGACCCCCCAGCAGGGCCAAGAGAGTGAGTCCCTGGGGCTGGGCTCACCTGGCACACCCTGCAGACCTCTCCCCGGTCCCAGCCGCAGTCAGCCCCACAGTGACCTACGAAGGGGGGGTAGCCGCTCAGCATGATGTAGAGGACCACGCCCAGGCTCCACAGGTCACAGCGCTTGTCATAAAAAGTAGCCTCATCCGTGAAGACCTCCACCACCTCAGGGGCCATGTATTCTGCAGAGCCACACTGTGGGGGCCAGGGTTGGGGGAGGGGGAAAAGGCAGAAAAAGAGAGAGGCTTAGTCACAGGAGAGGCGATTGCAAACAGCAAAATATAATGGGAACTGAGCAAGAGGGTGGAGTTACAGAGCAGGAAGTTATCATGAAAGCCAGCCAGAGAGCTCACCTGATACCGCCAAGGCACTGAGAAAAGACGGGCCAACTGAACATGTGTAAATCGAGTCCTATCATCCCTCATGACCCACATGATCAGTTCCAAACCACGTTCTTATCTTTCAGGTCCTTCTCCAGTAGGCAGATACCCTTGGTCAATAAGCTCCAGGAATCTCTCCCTGCCTCAGCTCTCTATAAACAGACACTTAATGTACAAGTACTTACTGCTGTGGAGGGGGTATCTGTGGAGATCCAATGTCAGAAAAGAAGGATTTTTAAAAGTGAAGTCCTGTCAAACTGCCCTGCTAGCTTAGAGCAAGGGTATAAGAATTTAGAATCCAGAGACCATCAAAGCCAGGAGAGCTCTTGGAATAAATCCAATCTCCCCTACCACTTATAGATGGGAAAATCAAGGCCTAGAATGGGACAGGGATTTGCCTAAGTGCATCAGTGGCTGCCCCAGGATGGAATCCGAGATTCTTCCCTCCCACCCTCACATAGAAAACTGCTGATTAGACTAAAACAAATTCTCTTTTGCTCCCCTCAATGTTGTTTCAGGTTCACCAACACACAGTCATGGATTGAATTGTGTCCCCCAAAAGTGTGTATCAACTTGGCTAGGCCATGATTCCCAGTATTGTGTGGTTGTCCTCCATTTTGTGATTGTAATTTTATGTTAAAGAAGATTAGGGTGGGACTGTAACACCCTTACCCGGGTCACATCCCTGATCCATCGTAGAGGGAGTCCCCCTGGGGTGTGGCCTGCACCACCTTTTCTCTCTCAAGAGATAAAAAGGAAAGGGAAGCAAGCAGAGGGGGGACCTCACACCACCAAGAAAGCAGTGCCTGGAGCAGAGAGCTTCCTTTGGACCCAGGGTCCCTGTGCAGAGAAGCTCCTAGTCCGGGGGAAGATTGATGAGAAGGCCGACAGAGAGACAGCCCTCCCCTGGAGCTGACGCCCTGAATTTGGACTTTTAGCCTACTTTACTGTGAATTTCTCTTTGTTAAAGCCATCCACTTGTGGTATTTCTGTTATAGCAGCACTAGATGACTAAGACACACACACAGACTCACAAAAGTAATTTGATGGGAAGATGGTAACTGCAGAAAGGATATTTTCTTTGTTATTGGCAATTAGAGTTAATGACTTTGAGAACAAGGTAGGCCAATGTAATAGAAGCTAATTCAGAAACATTCCTAATAATGTTGCTTAGAATAAGACGTAATATAGGCATACTTAAATGAATGTCTTAGAAAAGGGTTATTAGAAAAATTCACTTATGAAGCATGTAAATCTCAAAAGAATCATAATAATTATGGTATATTAAGTATGTACAAGAGCTGTCTTAGGAAGTAGCTCCCAATAGCACCATCTGGATGTGTGAAATGTGAAGTCAGAGAGCAACAGAAAACTTAGCCAAGCAATCCTAGTGCATATAGCCCGGAGCCTCACAATTCTCACTAATGAAGACACAAAAGCTTGTATCTACAGCATAGACTAAGCCCCGGACTAGGAGCTTCTCTGCGCAGGGATCACAGGTCCAAAGGACACACTCTGCTCCTGGCACTGCTTTCTTAGTGATATGAGTTCCCCCTTCTCTGCTCGTTTCCCTTTCCTTTTTATCTCTTGAGAGAAACGGTGGTGCAGGCCACATAGGGGAGGACAGCTTCCAGTCCTCCATCAGCAAAGATGGATGTGGTATGACATCAGCAGCGGGAAGGGGGCTCACAGAGCTATCCCCGTGCCGTATTTGAGAGGGAGTAGTGTGTGTCTTTACCTGGGTCAGGAGTCAGGGCTCAGTCTGTGTTGTAGATACAAGCTTTTGTCTCTTCATTAGTAGAGAAGATCCACCCAAAGCTAAAAGCTCTAATGTCAGTTTCATTAGCAACTAAGCACCAGCTCTGTGGGGCGGGGCCTACTAATACAAAGGAGTGAGCCAAATGACAGTTCAGGCAGCAGGAAATGGTACAGATACCCTTGGGTTTCCCTTCCTTAGCCCTCTGTTCTGGACTTTACAGCTTTGGGTCAGAGGATACTCCAAATGTACAGGCACCTGGAAGGGAGTGGCACAGCATGCCCAGACATACGTACTGGAGTGGTCAGCTCTGGTGTGGTTATGGGGGTGCAGGAGTTGTTCAGTTTTATCCCACTGCCCAAGTCAAAGTCGCAGATTTTCACTGGAGACACCTGAAATGGAAAACAGAAACCAAAGATTACAAATATAACACAATAAAGGGCATGAGGAGACCACAGGACTAAATGGGGGCATGGCTGTATGGCTGTCACACTGAAGCCCAGCTTTGTCTCTCAGGTTGTGTTTACTCTCCTTGGGTTAACTAGAAATCACCTAAGGATTTATCCGAAGGTGTCCTCTTTCCCATGCTCTTTTCTTCTTGTTGTTGTTAGTTGCCATTGAGTTGATTTGACTCATGGAGACCCCATGTGTGCAAAGTAGAACTGCTCCACAGCATTTTTAAGGCTGTGACCTTTCAGAAGCAGATTGTCAGGCCTGTCTTCCCAGGCGCCTAAGCAGGGCTGAACCACTACCCTTTCACCTAGTAGTAGAGTGCTTGAACTGTTTGCATCACCCAGGGACTCCACTCTTTACTTATTTCCCTACTATGTTTTGTTAGATTGTTGTGTGCTTAATATAAAATAAGTAGTAAACCTATGGAACACTTGCCAGCAAATGATGGCATAGGTTGTAGCATAGAAGCTAGAGAAGTTAATATGTATTCCTGAAAGATAGACTACTTGCAGCTCATTCAGTGAAGGGCAAGGGAAATTTGAGTAAAATCTTTGACCACCTCAGGGGTTGTAGAGTGGCCAACTTGTCCTGGTTTGCTCGCCTGGGACTTTGTTGGTTTTAGCACTGAAAGTCTCGCATCCTGGAAACCCCTCAGTCCTGGGAAAACTGGGATAGTTGGTCACCCTAGATGGAGTCAACACAGCAGCCAAGCCCACTATAATTGGATGCCAAGTCTGAGACCACAGCCAGGGTGATTCATGTCTGGTGCTGACCAGACAGGCAGTTTGCTGTGTGCATGACAATGTCCTATGTGGTGGAAGCAGCACAGTGAGTGTCCTTAAGGGGACGAAAAGGCCGGTTCTGTGAGTCCCAGGTCAGCCATTTACCCACCTCGGGCAGCCTAGGAGAGTCTCAACTTCTCTTCCTTTCTTTCTCACTTTTTTTAATTTTAGTTTTGTCAATCATAAAAAAAGGCAACCATGAAGATCAAATGTAACAAAGGACATGAAGTACATTGTAAACCAGAAGCACTGTAACAGGGTAGTTCAGAGCAGCCATGGAGTTGCGGGGTCAGGTGGCCTTAATTTTAATCTAGGCTCTACTACTTACTAGCTGAGTGACCTTGAGCAAGTTTCTTAATCTCTCTGAGCTTTGGTTCCCTCATCCATAAAAGGAGGATAATAATAGTATCTACCTCATGAGATTTTAAAAATACTAAATGGAATAAGGAAGACCAAAGAAGAATTGATGCCTTTCCATTATGGTGTTGGCAAAGCATATTGAATATACCATGGACTGTCAGAAGAACGAACAAATCTGTCTTGGAAGAAGTACAGCCAGAATGCTCCTTAGAAGTGAGGATGGCGACACTTTGTCGCATGTACTTTGGACTTGTTATTAGGAGGGACCAGTCCTCGGAGAAGGACATCATGCTTGGTAAAGCAGACGGTCAGCGAAAAAGAGGAAGACCCTAATGAGATGGATTGACACAGTGGCTGAAACAGTGGGCTCAAACACAGCAACGATTGTGAGGATGGTGCAGGACTAGGCAGTGTTTTGTTCTGTTGTACATAGGATTGCTATGAGTCGGAACTGACTCGACAGCCCTAATAACAACAACAACAAATGAAATAAGGCACTTAGCACAGTGCCTGGCACAATGCAAGCACTCAACAGATGTTAACTATAATTATTAATAATAATAAGTTATAAAGTTTTGTGCCAGAATCATTGATAGGAAGATGGAAGATCTTATTTGAGCTAATTCATTATTATTCACCACAAAACAGTAGGAAGTACAGGCTGACTCACATATTTGCTAACAGCTATTCTTTATTTATGAGCCATAGTTTAATCCAGTCCAAGTCACCTGCGCTCATGCACACACACGTCTACACACACAGAAGCGTGAACATGGGTCACCCAAACCACCAGCCCCTAAATCCCTCCTAAGAAATACAGAATTTGGCAAATTCGTAGACACTATAGAAATGCACATATTTCCATTTACTAGTAGATTAAGTTAGGGAATAGTTTAAAATAGGTTGCATTTGTTCAACACCAAGCATGAATATTTTCTTTTTAATGGCCACCTTTGGAAATAAAAATGGAAACAGAAATACTTTTCAAGAACATGCTAGTACTTCATCTGGCATATATACTATAACATAAACATCATTTAGGCAGAGATATGCTTCGTATGAAATTGAGTTGTTGTTTATGGCTCACATCAACTGCTCTGAAAGTGGCACGTTGGATTGGAAAACATTAATTTTGTGCAGCTCTCATGTAGTTTACAAACTCTCGGCTTAAGTTAATAACACTGATGATAATGGGCAAGGGACAAGGATTACCCAACTGAGAACATAGGGCCATTGCATATTAGGTATAACACAGTTCAAGTTGGTACCTGAGGCCGAGAGGACTGCCAACAATCTATACTGAAAGCAAAGGGGGCTTCCCCAAATCAGTGTAAACTGTAAGGTCCCAAATTAGGCCCCAAGTACCTTTTCTGCAGACTCACACAGTATATTTTCTGGCTTCAGATCACGGTGAGCAATGCCTGAAATGACAAAGAGCAAAGAAATGGTTAACACATGCACATAATTATCAAACATTCCACACACAATTTTTTCCAAATGCTGTTGTTCGCAGATTAATTCCCAATTACGGTACATTAAAAAATCAACGAGCTGCAGGAGGCAGAAGCAACCAGAGACACAGACCAAAAGCACAGTTGATTCTGCAAGTTCTTTTGAAGTGGGGGCTTTAGAAGTCTCGCAGGATAAGAAGGGCTAAACGAATCCCAGTCAGCCTACCTTTCAGCACTGCAGTGACAAGAGTAAGAAAGCCTAATGCAAAGCAGAGCAAAGAGCTCTGCACAGTCAGTGCAGGGAACAGCAATGCAGAAATAATTAGTGCCTTGTTTAAGAGCCTCTCAGGGGGGTTGGACTGCTCTACTTCATTTCTTCTTGTGTGGCCGATTTTTTTTTTTTTTTTTAAAAGATTCCTTCAGTGGGACTCCCTGAATGTTCAGGGGATCAAGTGTTAGTTAACGAATCTCCCAAAGCTTGTCTGATTCCCTTCTTGCCTGCTCTGCATGGCTAAGACAGCCTCACCGGAAGCAAAGCAAGGGTTGCTGTGGCCTCAGGGTGCTGTCTAAAGAGAGGCCTCCCTCGCCTTTTGGCCAGGACCTCTCTCCTGAAGGAGACGGCAAATAGCATCTTTCTCCACTAGGGGTTAAAGGTAGCTGACCTGGCCAAGAAGGCACCTGGGGAAAACCACCTTCTAACCGAAGACAGGGACAAAGAACCAACACACGGGACCATGGCGTTCTGGAGGCAGACTCAGAAATCTGTCATTTCTCTCTCCTCCTGCAGAATGCACAACGCAGAGACAGAAGGGCTGGAGGGTCAAGCAAGAGCCAGACAGCTACTGCTTGGAAGTCCTGGGAAGCGCAGAGGATTCTCAGGGTAACCAGTGTAGGTGGGAAAAGCAGAATCTGCTTTACTGAAACTCTCTTGATCATCAATTTAGGCAGCCTCCAATTCCCTTCTAGGTGATGAGGGCTCAGCCCAACTGAGGCATTTCACTCGAGAGAAAAAACCTGAGCTCTGGCAGACTAAGTAACTTCATCAGTCACCTAATTGAATGAGAACCCAGAGCAACTCAGCCCAGGCTGCACAAATTGAGTCGGGCTACAGCTCGCTGCACTAAAAGTGAAAGCTATTTTCCATTACAGGAAGTGCTCCCACAGAAGGATCACCAGCCACACATGGAGCCTTAGTCTCCAAATAGGTGGCAATGGTCCAGTCGTCCCCCAGCCTGAGAACTCAGACAGCCCTGCTGTAATAACGGGCCTGCCTGTGTGAGCAAACCAGCCATCGAGCTGCTCCGGTTCATTTCCCAGAGGTTAAGTGGCCGTGTGTCCAGTATTTAAAAGTATGCAACTTGTTTCAGGGCTGACCCACTCTTGCCCAATTCATCTTCCCAGCATGAAGTTATTTAGAAAACAGCCAGGTTCAGCTGGAAATCGTTTTTCATTCCTTCCAACTTCTAGTCACATGGGCAGCTGGCCTGCTGGATGTTAACAAGCACTTCAGAACTCCTAAGACACCACCAGCCTCCATTCCCTTTAGTGCATTCTTGTTAAAAAAAAAAAAAAATAAAACCGCCTTTACCCCACTCCAAGGTATGGATCTTGTAAAAAGAGTGACCCAGTTTGCAATCTATAGAGGCAGCTTGGGGAGCAGTTGTAAATCTCTGTCAGGCAGGTGTTACCTACATGCATCCCAGCTTTCAGAAACAGAACAACTGCTATTCATCATGTTGCGGAAAGTACAGACACCTCCTTCTAGGAATTTCCATCCCAGGTGCAAGTCAGGCCCCCAACATTGGCACTGTCAATACGGAGATCTCTTTTCAGCCACTGAAAGAATCAGTGAACCTGAGCCTCCCTACATATGCACACCAGTCTGCACTTTGCCATGCTGTGCTGCTGGCACCAAGTGACATGTATAAACTGCAAGCCTACAAATAGTCCTAAGCACTTACCACCAATGTGGCTGGCCAATATCCACAACAGGAAAGCGAATAGAGCCAAGTCACAAATTGTTATTTCCTCCAGCCCCACTCCCCACCAGACAGAATAGTTTTCTTCAAGGGAATTAATATTAGGAATAAAAATGCCTTCTGTCTGATACAGGATGAGAGTGGAGGAAATAATATTTACTGAGGAACTACTATGTGCCAGACACTACGCTCCATCGATGTCATTGTTGTTGAGTGTCGTCAAGTTGATTCTAACTCATAGTGACCCTATGTGACAGAGTAGAACTGCCCTGTAGGGTTTTCTTGGTTGTAATCTTTACGGAAGCAGAGCGCTAGGTCTTTCTCCCACAGAGCTGCTGGGTGGGTTCGAACTGCCAACCTTTTGTCAGCAGCTCAGTGCTTAACCATTGCGCCACCAGGGCTCCTTATGCTCCATCTACATTATACCTATAAATACGTACACACAATTACATAAATGAGTTAATATACATAAAAGGCTTAGAACAGTGCCTAGCACATGAAAAGTGCTATATAGTGTTCGTAACTGTTAATATTATTTCTCTTACTTCTCACCGTGACTCTATGGGGTAGGCATTACTACTGAGAGAGCACATAGCTGGAAAAAAGGTGAAGCCAGAATTCATTTTTTCCATGGCGCTGCAGTACAGTTAGCTTAAGCAAATTTAAAAAATGTATGTAATATTCAAACATATTTATGGAAATACAAAAACAATTTGCAAAGAGATTTAATTCTCTACATAAGTTCTTAAATAATCAGTCCTCGGAATGGGACTGTAAACTGAAGTATAATTCACACAACAGAAGTCTGCTATTTACCACTGTGATGTTCAACTGATACCTCAGACTTACCACGGTAATAGATAAATGCATTTTTCATTTATTGAGAGCAAGATATAAAACTACATATATAGTATCATGCCAATTTTGAAAAGAGAGACACAAATGATGTATTTAAAAAGACTATAAAGAATAACACCAAAATATTTATAACAGAATGGTAGTATGCATAAGCTTTATATTCTTCATCAGGAAAAAGAGGTATCATCCACACACACATTCACACATATACACACTCATACATATCTTGTTCAACATGAAATTTATTCTTTTTCCTCCTGCTCTTCCTCCTGTATCCCTATCCTAGTTAACAGCTCCACCATCTACTTACCATTCAAGCCAGAAGCCTAGGACTCATCCTGGACTGTTCCCTCACCCTCATGAGTGGGTATGTTCGAATCTCAAGCTGCCTGCCAGCTGTACCATTTCCTGGATCAAGCCCTCTGCCTGGCCTGCCCCCTATGCATTGGGTCCCAGAGGCTGGCCAGCCAGCCCAGCCCAACCCACCCACCGAGGCAAAGTTTTGGTTCACCTTTGGTATGCAGGAAGTCAAGGGCAGCAGCAACATCCCGCACCACTCGGCTGGCTTCTCGCTCATTGAAGTGCTTCCGCCTCTGGATGTGGGCCAGGATGGAGCCTGGGGAGCAAAGGGGACACAGAGGAAAGACTTTTCAGGCTCTAGTAAGTCTAACTTCTTAGAGGCTAAATTTATACCAGTTTGGGAGCTTCCTGAGGGTGGGGACATAGGTTTATTCAGCAAGGAGCTCTGGTAGCACAAATGGTTACGCATTCAACTTGTGACCGAAAGGCTGGCGGTTTGAACCTACCCAGTGACTCCGTGGGAGAAAGACCTGGCGATCTGCTTCCATAAAGAATATAGCCAAGAAAATCCTATGGGGCACTTCTACTGTGTCACATGGGGTCACTATGAATTGGAATTCACTTGATGGCACCTAACAACAACAACAACTGTCCAGCACCAAGTATAATGCCTGGCAGAGAGGAGGTACCAGTAAATGTCTGTTGAATAAAACTGAACTCCTATCTTCTGGACCTATATGAGTACCGAAGGGAGAGAGAAGAACTATTTAAATGACCAAAAAGCATTAACACCACTGGTGCTAACTTGCTTTCTGAAATCAAAAGGAACTAAAAGTAAATCCACGTGGAGCTAAGGAGGGCTCTCTGTAGGAACATTTCCTCCTCTGCATCTGATCTCAGATCCAGACAGGGTACAAGCCTTCAAATGGAAATGCCACATCTTCACCAGATATATAAAAGTCTGGAAAAGGGAAGAGACCTGTTTTTTTCCCCTAAATTTTCCCATTTATTGTTAACATTATCATTTTATTAAAAATAGCTAACATTGAAACGGAGGAAAGATTGAAGTTGTCAAAGATTTCATTTTACTTGGATCCACAATCAACACCCATGGAAGCAGCAGTGAAGAAATCAAAAGATGCACTGCATTGAGCAAATCTGCTGCAAAAAACCTCTTTAAAGTGTTGAAAAGCAAAGATGTCACCTTGAAGACTAAGGTGCGCCTGACCCAAGTCATGGTGTTTTCAATCACATCATACACGTGCAAAAGCTGGACAATGAATAAGGAAGACTAAAGAAGAATTGACGCCTTTGAATTGTGGTGCTGGGGAAGAACATTGAATATACCATGGACTCCCAAAAGAATGAACAAATCTGTCTTGGAAGAAGTACAACCAAAATGCTCCTTAGAAGAAAGGATGACAACACTACATCTTACATACTTTGGACATGGTGTCAGGAGGGATCAGTCTGTGGAGAAGGACATCATGCTTGGTAAAGTACAAGGTCATTGAAAAAGAGGAAGACCCTCAATGAGATGGACTGACACAGTGGCTGCAGCAATGGGCTCAAGCATTACAATGATTGTGAGCATGGTGCAGGATGGGGCAGTGTTTCGTTCTGTAGTACACAGGGCCTCTATGAGTTGGAACCAACTTGACAGCACCTAACAACAACAACAACATTTACTGAGTAGTTACAATGTGCCAAGCACTATGCGATACTCTCTAAATAAATTATCTTCTACCTACCACAACTGTACAAAATGAGCAGTATAGTTATCCCCATTTTATAGATGGGGAAATGGAAGCCAAGAATGTTTAAGCAACTTGCCCAAGATCATGCACAAGTCTGTGGAGGAACCAGCACTTAAGCTGAGTAAGTCTGAGCCTGTGCAGACTTCCCAGCTGTAGGATTTGTGGTTGGACTGCCATGAGGATGGGTTGCCCTGAGTCAACCACACTCTCTTAACCCACTGGGTCTAGCCTTAAGAGAGCTACCCTGTAAGCAATATGGCTACAGACGATCCCCCATTGCATCTAGTATTTCAAACATGTAATTCAGGGGGCAGACATAGGCATTTACATATGGCTTGGCTCCATGTGGTCTACACTACTAGAAGTCAGTGTTTCTAGGCTGAAGGTGTCATCTCTATGTCCTAAAAATGGCACACGCTTACTTATCTCTGTTTTTTGGCATGGGGAGGTGATGAGAGAGGGAAGGGAAGAATGGCCAAAGATACTTCACTTACTAGATTAAACAATTAAACGACCTCAACATGCTAGGGTACATTCCCCGAAAACTGGCTCTTGACCAGGTTGTCAGCTTGCTCTACTGTAGTAAGCCTGTTCCCAAACTCATTAAAAGGGATAGTGGAGAGTAATATTCCACATAGATTTAAGATAGCCCCCCCCAACACAAAAACAAACAAAAAATCCTTTGCGGTCGAGTTGATTCCAACTCATAGTGACCCCAGCATACCCAATTATTTTAATAATAACAGCTAATATTTATTGAAACGGTTAATGCACTTGGCTGCTAACCCAAAGATTGGCGATTTGAGTTCAGCCAGAGTTACCTCAGAAGAAAGGCCTGCAGAGTTACTTTAGAAAAATCAGCCATTGAAAACCCAATGGAGCACAGGTTCTACTGACACACAGGGTCACATGAGTTGGAAATGACTCGCCGGCAACTGGTACTGGTAGTGCTTACAGGCACTGTGTTAAGCACTTAACATGGTTTATCTCATTTAATCCTTGCAGGGACTCAATGAGGTAGGTACTATTATTATCCCTACTTTATAGATGAGAAAACTGTTTGGAAAGGCTAAGTGATTTTCCCAAGTTCACACAGCTAAAAAATGGAGCTAGACTTAAACCTAACTTTGTTGGTTTCTAGAGAACAAACCCTAAACCACCAAGCCCCACCATGTAGCCCTCTACTCAGCTCCAGACATTCCCATCCCTAACCTTTGCCTTGCAAATGTGTCCTGGGGTAGGGTGAGTGATGGAGAGGCAAAGGGGTTCTCTATCCCCTTCTCTGTTAGAAGAGCAACTTAAAATATACACCCGAGTGATTACGTGTGTGGGGTGACGTCAGTAGTGGTGGTGGTCAAGAGTAGAATCTTTCCACTGGAAGGGCGGCACATTCTCAGGCCTCCTATCTATCCTGGGTCTGTGTCCCAAACAATGGGACCCCCCTTCCCTCAAATGAGCCCCTCCAGTGAGCCTTTTTAGCTTTCACAATGTATGCAAGAGCTTCCACCCCATAATTAATTTAGCTAAATAGTGAACATGTCAAAATAGGGGACTGATGAATTGGTGACTAAATGTATCTCTATATGACTCCTATTATAATGAAAAGGCATTTATAGAATGCCCACACAGGTGACATTCTAAGCTCTGCAAAATGCTAATTATCATCCTCCCCTCCGGCCTCCCTTCTCCCAAATCAAGGGCAGTTTTTAAGTCCTTCATCCTTTTTATTAGCTTGACTCGTTTTAGAAGTCTCCGGGATTCATGATGGATGATCACCACCCTGGGTCTTAATCAGAAGTCCAAACACATACTCAACAGTAAGTACCTCCTTGCAATTTCTCAAAGACCAAGTAAAACCTTGTGTCATCTTCAAAGAACTCAATCAGCTCCAAAATGTTCCTTAAATAGAAAAAAACAGGAGGAGAGGGAAACAGGGAAATGGCATTATATATTAACATCCACTTACAAATACACAACAAACAATACATACAATGCCCTGTAGTAGGGCAGAAAGCAACTTGAAATCAGAATGCTTATTAAAGACCTATGTTTGAGAAGTAGCCAATGGTGTTAGCAAGATTCAGGTCACCTTATCTTTCCATAATGTTTAGTCTCTGGTGTTTTCACCAAGTCTGGCTGTCAAACCCCAACCCTAAAACCCACTAGGTAGAGTTATAAAAAAGTCCCGGTCACATTAAACTGAATAAAATCTGCAGCCGACTGGAAGCAATTGCGGCTAATAACACTGAATAGTAGGTGTGTGTCCTGGAGGCAAGCAGCAAATAATTACTTGCCCTCCCTCTTGCCCATAAATCATGGGGCAGTATTTACATTGCCTGGAGAAAATGGAAACATCTGTCAAATAGACTTGGGGCCTAACGTGGGCACGGCTAGACCCTAACTGCTAAGCTCTGCTTAATGAAACGGCCGCGTTCCTGGCCACTGTAGCACTTGTGGCCTTCCCCGGTGAGCACTCTCTGTCTGCCTGAGTATTACAGTGCTCTGCCAACAAGGTCGTGTTGTAACTCAGTAGGGAAGCCACCAGCTTGGATATTGGCGGTGTTGGGGGCTTTTTCTCTTTTAAAGAACGAAATAAACCAAGTAGAATCTCTAATGCTGAACTAAGAGGCTGCAGGGCTGAAAATAAAAATCTGTCTCTCATAAAAAAATGCTGACCACTTTGGGAGACACCAGGCTTTTACTAGCGTGAAGGCGTCCAAATAAGATGGCCAAAATGGCCTCATTTGAAAGAAGACTGTAGAGGCAGTGCCTGGAGTTAAATCAACAGCAGCCCCCATCCTCCAAGCTTAATGACAAAGCCATCAATACCAGGCCACTGGCTCCCTGCTGACCCGGCCATGCAGGGAGAGAGAGGGGGAAGCGGAGTCTTAGAGGTGACCCTGATTTAAAGCCACAGTGGGAGAGCCACTCATTTGGAGCTGGTGGCGAGCGGACTAAGACGGGGATAGACATTACCTTGGCCCAGTTATTAAGCAGAGTGTAAAACAAGGCTTCAAGGACCTTTAGTGTATCTGTGCATATGTGAATATGCTAGGAACAGAAAAAACAGCAGCAAACACTCTTAACAGTTACCATTATCCTCCTCTATTTACTAGCGCAGGTCCCTAAAAATTTCTACCAGGCAACACCTGGTCAGCCTACTAACCACAGGCACCACTTGAAAGAAAGAAAACTCCACTTTTCCTCAAACAGCCACTAATTCAGATCATTCACTTTTCTAACTTGCTGAATTGCTGGTATTTATACTATTTCAGCCTAAACAGAAGACAGGCTTCTTTGCTGCTGCCTCTCCCCTCTGCCCGCCCCCCCGCTTCTCTTTTTAACATTGAAAGACATAAGGAGCTACATGCAGTTGTGGGGGAAGGAGTGAAAGCCAAACGCTGGGGTCAGGAGATGGTAAGAAATAACCGCTTTTTCTGTGGCCAAGCATCCCCCTAGAGAAGCAGCAAGTAACCCAACACTAACTATACTCACTTGTTTCCTTGACACTGATATAGTGTCTCCACCTCTCGAAATACTCTACTCCGACTGTGCCCTGCTTGTTTTTCGATGATCTGTGGGAAGAATAAAATCTGTTAGGTATACCCACATGACCTCAAACCACCGCCTCAGATAGAGACCTCTGGGAGAATGCAATGCCAAATTCAGTCCAAATCCAGTTTCAAGCAGAAGTCTGGAGTAGGCCTCCGTGACACAGATACTGTGGCTCTGTCAACAAAGCAACAGACTGGCCTGAGGGCTTTCCAGCCCAGCTGAGCCTGTTTGACTCTGGCCAAGCACAACACCAAGGAAGCCTATGAGACTGCTGCCCCCCAGCTGCCCAGGGGAGACTGAGGTAGCCAGCAAGACAAAGAGCTATCTCTACGTAGCTCCTATCCCTGAATGGCATCTCTTTCTGCCTTAAGAGGAAGAATTAAAAATCTCTCCTGAAGGATGGTCTAGTGCTAGAGGAAGAGTAAGGGGGATGAAGGACACAGTTGGAGGAGAACTAAAGCTTCAAGGCCCAGCTCAAATGCCACCTCCACAATTCCCCCAGACAGAAGTAAACTCTTTCTCTTCTGAGAACTTATTCTTTGGCAGACACTACATTGAGGACACTCAGAACACTATGTTACATACATAATCTCAGTTAACCCTTACAACCATCCCAAAAGATAGGAAGAGATTACACATATTACCCACTGCTTTGATAGTGACAAGGCTGGAATTCTGGACCAGAGCTGCCACCATACACCTTGCTGTCCTACACCTGCTTATATCTATACAGCTTCTCTTAGAGCACCTAGAAGCTTTGCCTCTTCCACTATTGTGGGTTGACCCCCTCCTCTACCCTATACTTGGAGGTGCTTGGCAAATACTGACTGAAAGAATGAGTAAATGAGCCAATAGATGAGCAGGTGGGTTATGCAGGGACTAGCCGACTCTGGAAAGATCTACGGACCCACTGAGAACCCAAAACTGTTGCAAGTGGGCAAGTCTTCTACAGAGCCTGGCTCTGTCCTACAGCTCCCAAGTGCAATGTGGGCAGCACAGATGATTAATGCTGCTCCTTCATTCAAAGACTGCTATGTAGAACACTTCAAAGTATTCTGATACGTTGCAGTAGAAAAATCCATGACCAACTGTAATTTTCTACACTCACTCCTCACTTGGAACCCTGGTGACAGAATGGTTAAGAGCTTGGCTGCTAACCAAAAGGTCAGCAGTTCAAATCCACCAGCTGCTCCTTGGAAACCCTATGGGGCAGCTCTACTCTGTCCTACAGGATCACTATGAGTTAGAATCAACTTGACAGCAACAGGTTTGGTTTTTGGTTTGGTACTCCTCACTCACCGACATGGTTTGGTTCCAAAACCCAGGTCGTTATGCGAAAATTGGCATTATGTGAAAATGGAGGATTTATTTTTTCTGTTTTCAGACCATTTGTCCGATTTTTTTTAATTTAGAAAATATGATCACAGAAATAATAACAGCCAAGATTTACTGATGTGTTCATCACTGTGATGAGTCCAGTTATGGATTATTCCTCTGCAGAGAAGGGTTGGAGGAGACAAAGCAGGATAAAGCTGGGCTGTGTGACTGGAAGGCCCAAAGCTTAACCACTTCACCTTCCTCCTGTGCTGGCTCAGAGCTTCCCTCACGGAGCTGCCTCCAGAGCTCCACTCCCACCTCTGCAAGTCTGTTCTCTGGGCCTGGTGAGTCACTGAGGCTCGGGGCTTCCTGCAAGGCTGCTGGGAACCTGGCCACACACCAGGGCCCACTGAGGTGGAGGCTTTAGGCCCAGTTCGGCTCACTTTGGGGTGTCCTTAAACTTGCACGCATTTCTTCCAAACACCCTCTCGGAAGCCTCTTTCTTTCCTCCCTTCCCACCCCACAGCAATTCTGAGCGGCAGGGCCTCTGGCCACATAGGAGCTGGGAACCTAGAACTGGCAGGTGCCTGCTAGCTTGGTGCTGCCTATGCATCCGCCCAGAGGCCGCGGTCACAGAGGACGGTGGCCTCCCATGGCAGCTGGATGCAGCGCCCTTGCTAGCAGGAGGGGGTGGAGGGTGCAGGCAGTGCAGCCCAGCTTCCTGGAGGCCACTGGGAGACCCTCCTCGAGGGAGGGGACGGTCTACAGCTGCAGCTGTTGCAGCCATGCCTGCTGCCTCATTACTGTGCAAAATAGTTGGATAGATTTTTTTTTTACTATTGTCGTAAATGTGAAATGTCAGATAATGAGACAGTCAATAAGTGAGGAGAAGGTGTAAATAAGTCCATGTCTGTTAGTAAACTGCTGTGGACCCATTTTCTGAACAGCCAGAGAAATGCAGTGTGAGGAGCAGAAGTTATTCAACTCATTCATTCACCAAGCATTCCAGATCAAAGCCAGAAAGAACTTTCTAGCAGGCAAGCTAGCCAGCAATGGTGTAGTTTCTCTGAGAAGGTAGTGGGTGCTGACTACTAGAGATGTGGGAGAAGAACCTGGACAACTATTTGAGGAAGTTATAGTGGAAATTCAAGACCAGATTATCTTGAAATTCAATTCCAACTCTGCGACTCTAAGATTCATCAGTTGGATGCCTGCAGGAAAAGCCCTAATAGAAGAAAGCACTGTGGAGCCATGCTGGGAGAAGTAGCCCATCTCTAGGGAGTTTTCAACAAGTAGGGGAGTCAAGAGACATGGGCAGAACTGCCAAAACAAAAGAATTGCCAAGCCAGGGTCCAGTGTCTGCCCAGTGACGCCAAGGAGCATGCAGGAAGGGCCAGGTCTTCCCCTTGTGAATCAATTTTGAAGAAATAGATCTGTCATCTATAAATGTACTCAAACCCTTGAAAATCAGTTTATATTTGTGGTTTTTATTACATTTAGCCATATTTTAAAAAATTACTTGTAATTAATACTCATCTGTTTCTAAAAAGAACTTGAGGTAGCTCTTTTGTTACCATGTGAAGCAACACTCCAGCAAAAAGGAATATGGCTCATCAAAAGTGTTCTCCTTTATAATCCACAGCTGGGACTGTGGACAGTTGGTTAAAAGACAAGAATATGCTCCTTTCATGAGCCAGTTTGGCTGGACTTATCAGTCTGAGGCAGCCCTTACACCTGGTGGCTCAGGTGGATGATCTGAAATAAGTTTAAATTCCTCTCCCAGATTTAAGAAAAACCTTTGCTCTAGATCAGTGGTTCTCAAACTTTGGTGGGTATCACAATCACCTGGGGAGCTTGGTAAAATCCAAAGGTGCAGGCCCTCTCCCATATCAAGAAACCTGGGTCCCTGTGTGCTTTACTAGCTCTACAGGTGATTCTGATATATGCTAATGTTTAAAATGTCCTCATATCATCAGTGTTCTCAAACTTTAGTGAGTACACCATCTTCACGATCATTGGTATGTTTGAGTCCATTGTTGTGGCTATTCCAAACATAATTCCAAATCTGGTTGCCTACTCCCTGAAACTGACTTTATTTATCAGAATATGAAGCAGCAACTTACTATGTGCCAGGCATTGTTCTAAGCACTTTAAGCTGTAAAACCTCTTGCCATCGAGTCGATTCCGACTCATAGTGACCCTATAAGACAGAGTAGAACTGCCCCATAGGGTTTCTAAGGAGCGACTGGTGGATTCGAACTGCCGACCTTTTGGTTAGCAGCCGAACGCTTAACCACTGCACCACCAGGGCACATATATATATATAAATACATATATTGTTGTAGTTTAAGTGAAAGTTTACAATTCCAGTTAGTCTCTCATACAAAAATTTATACATACAATGTTATGTGACCCTAATTGCTCTCTCTGTACTGTGACAGCATACTCCTCCTTTCCACCCCTGACTTCCCGTGGCCGTTCAACCAGCTCCTGACCCTCTCTGCCTTCTCATCTCACCTCCGGACAGAAGCTGCCCATTTAGTCTCATGTATCTACTTGAGCTAAGAAGCACACTCTTCACGAGTACCACTTTATGTCCCACAGTCCAGTCCAATCCCTGTCTGAAGAGTTGGCCTTGGGAATTGTTTTAGTTCTGGGTTGATAAGAGTCCGGGGGCCATGCTTTCTGGGGTCCCTCCAGTCTCAGTCAGACCATTATGTCTGGTCTTTTTACTAGAATGAGTTCTGCATCCCACCCTTCCCCTGCTCCATCGGGGACTCTGTTGTGTTCCTTGTCAGGGCGGTCATTGGTAGCCAGGCACCATCTAGTTCTTCTGGTCTCAGGCTGATGAAGTCTCTGGTCTACGTGGCCCTTTCTGTCTCTTGGGCTAGTACTTTCCTTGTGTCTTCGGTGTTCTTCATTCTCCTTTATTCCAGGTGGTTTGGGACCAATTGATGCATCTTAGATAGCCGCTCGCAAGCTTTTAAGACCCCAGATGCCACTCACCAAAGTAGGAAGCAGAACATTTTCTTAATAAACTTTGTTATGCCAATTGACCTAGATGTCCCCTGAAAGCATGGTCTCCAGACCACCGCCCCTGCTACTCTGTCCCTCAAAGTGTTTGATTGTATTCAGGAAACTTCTTGGCTTTGGTTTAGTCCTGTTGTGCTGACTTCCCCTGTAGTGTGTGCTGTCCTTCCCTTCGCTTAAGATAATTCTTGTCTACTATCTAGCTAGTGAATAACCCTCACCCTCCCTCCCCATGCTTGTAACCATCAAAGAATGTTTTCTTCTGTGTTTAAACCTTTTCTTGAGTTCTTATAATAGTGGTCTTATATAATATTTGTACTTCTGTGACTGATTAAATTTACTCAGCATAAATATCCTCCAGATGCCTCCATGTTATGTTTCACGGCTTCATCGTTGTTCTTTATCGTTGTGTGGTATTCCATTGTGTGAATATACCGTAATTTGTTTATCCATTCGTCTGCCGATGGGCGCCTAGGTTGTTTCCATCTTTTTGCTACTGTGAACAGTGCTACAATGAACATGGGTGTGCATATATCTATTCATGTGATGGCTCTTATTTCTCTAGGATATATTCCAAGGAGTGGGATTGCTGGATCGTATCCTACTTCTATTTCTAGCTTTTTAAGGAAGTGCCAAATCGATTTCCAAAGTGTTTGTACCATTTTACTTTCCCACCAACAGTGCATAAGTGTTCCAGTCTCTCCACAGCCTCTCCAGCATTTATTGTTTTGTGTTTTTTGGATTAATGCTAGCCTTGATGGGGTGAGATGGTATCTCATCGTAGTTTTGATTTGCATTTCTCTAATGGCTAATGATTGTGAGCATTTCTTCATGTGTCTGTTAGCAGGGCACATATTATTTATTTAATCCTCACAACAATTCTACATAGGTTCTATTATTACAACCATTTTACAGATGAGGAAACTAAGGAACAGACAGATTAAGTAATTTGCCCAAGGTGACACAGTAAGTAGAGAAATCAAGATTTGGATCTAGTTAATACAGCTCTGGAGCCCCATTCTTATTCAGCCACTATATGGCGGAAATAAAATTTATTTGGTTTAGGACAAGCTAGGAATTTGCAAAGTAAGCCTGGCCCCCGATGAAACACTCACTTTGACAGCATACTCTTTGCCATTCTGCAGGCTCACCGCACCTTGAACTCTGGCATAGGCTCCCTCTCCCAGCAACTCGGAGGTCAGCTTGTACACATCTGGAGGTGAAATGGACGAGAGGAATAATAAGATGAGTCACCCCTTTACAAGCTAAGATGGAAAGAAGAGCGCTGTCACTCAGCTTCCCTCATCTGACAACAACACAGGCAGAAGAGGCGCACGATGACTCTGTAGCACTCAGTGAAAATGAGACCTATAGCTTTGCTCTCAGGGCTCAGCTGACCAACAAGATCACATAGAAGGCATCCAATTTCTTATTCTAGAGATGAAAGAGTTTCAATTCAGCACATACTTTCTGAGCACCTACTGTGTGCCAAAGAGCATACTGACTAATAACAGGGACAGAGTGAAGAATGAAATAGTTCTGTTATGAGTTGAATTGTGTCCCCCACAAAGATATGTTCAAGTCCTAACCTCGAGTACCTGTGAAAGTGACCTTATTTGGAAACAGGGTCTTTCTAGATGTAATTAATTAAGTTAAAATGAGGTAGTATTCATTTTATGGGCCCTAATCTAATAAGACTGGTGTCCTATAAAAAGAGGAGAGAGACACAGAGACAGATGCAGAGGGAAGATGGTCATGTGAAGACAGAAGCAGAGACTGGAGTTATGTTGCCACAAGCCAAGGAACGCTTGGGGCTACCAGAAACTGGAAGAGACAAGGAAGGAGCTTCCTCTAGAGAGGACATGGCCCTGCCAACATCCTAAATTCAGACTTCTAGCTTCCAAAAACTATGACAATAGTTTGTGGTACTTTGTTACAGCAGCCCTAAGACACTAATACAAGTCCCTACCCACTAAAAATCACAGTCCAATGGGGAAGGAAGACAGGTACATATACAAGTTGACTCCAGAATAAACCAGAGAAGGACAAGATACAGTAGAAAAAGAGGGGAAGGGAGAGATTAAATCTGCTCAAGGAATCTGGGGGATCCTAATAGAAGGGGTGTGACTTGAATGAGCATCATTCATTCATTTACTCTTTACTGAACACCTGCTATGCTGGACACTGATGATACAAAGGGGAATGAATAACACATAAAATGGAAATCATTAGAGCTTTTTGAGAAGTTTCCAGTAGTCAGCCACAGGAAATAAGGGACAGAAGTAGGCTGCAAACAGAAGCCTCGAGGTTTTTAGGGTACTGAGTCAGAGTGATTCTGAGTAATACGCCTGGGTTGAAAGCAACATTGAGGTGGCCTGCCGAAGCTCACAAATAAGCACAAGCTCTTTGAGTTCCTTCCAAAGGAAGCCACACATCCATTGTGGCCTCTGTTAAGCTGGGCTTCCCCTCCCCTGGCCTCAGTTCTTCAGCTTTTTCCTCTTGAGCAGCCTAGCGTTTAAACCCACAAACTGAGCAAATCTATGAAATTAGATTTTATCACTCTTAGTCATGAGAAGCCCAGTAATTGCACAAGCTATCCTTGAATAACAGGAAATGCTCTCTTCTGTTCATTGGAAGAGCAAGACCTGCTGAGTTGGAAACTATTCTAAAAACCTTGGGACTTTTGTGCCTCCCCTCATCTGTCTGAGTTAAAGGCAAAAACAAAACAAAACAAACAATAACAACAAAATAAAACAAACAAACAAAACCAACCCTGCAGTAAGTACTTTCCTGGCTCCATCATGGTTTGACCTTGCAGCTGTTTGTAAGAACAGATGGCACACGGTTGTTTGCAAGTATTTTAAATAACAGGCTTCTCTCACAGTGGACACTTTGGCATTAACTCTTTACACAGGTCAGAGTATATACATAGTTGGAGGTCCAATACTGCTGACTCATAAAGGGCTTGTTGTTAAAACCACTCTACAAAACAGTTGACTAACGTATCTGCAATGATGGAAAGAGCGTCTGTGAGGGGAAGCTATTTCAGGTCTCACGATGAAAAAAATAAAATAGATGAAGGGGGACATGTTACTCCTAGGAGTAGCTACTGATCCTTTCAGTCCTTTGCAGAAGTGTCCAATTAATTTCACCCCATCACATGCCCAGTGATGAAAGGACTAGCACTGAGCCTGGTGCCTCGCATATAGTGTTCGAAAAACGTTTGGTGATCCAACGTCGTGTCCCCTGAGCACGACATGCATCCTTCAAAATAGAGTCAAACATATACAGCACAAGTAGTTGCAGTCTTTAGGAGTCAAATTCTTTGCTTGTAGAAAATTTTAGTTTCATTTGCAGTCATGGCCTTTTGTGGTTTTCCTTTCCTCCTGCATGGCTGTTCTACTACTCAGCAGCCCCTCCAGAACAGCAGAGGGAAAGATCCCATGTGAAAAGGAGAGAAACATACCAGGCAATCTCACTCCATGTACACCTCTGATAGATTGGTTTTTCTGCCCACTATGAGGTGGTCAAGTCATTCAAGGGAGGCCTGTGCATCAGCTGAGAGTTTGCTCTCGATCTCTCTCTCTGTGTCACTCTTGTGTGTAAACCCTCTCAACTTTTATCCTTCATCACGTATCACACAGATAACCATGAGCTGGCTCTCAGATGATTCATCCTACCAGGATGTTCCTCCCATACTTGGGGAGCCACAGGCCCAGATCTAGGAGAGTTGTGTGACCAACCTTCAAACTTTCCTAGCAAGGAGTCAGTGGCCCGGGCCTTCCGCTTTTTCTTCTTCCTCTTGTCACTTTCTGCGATGGGAAGGGGCTCACTGCTGCCCATCTCTGAAGATAAGAGAAGATGTAAGGGGAACATTACTGTACTGCTCAAGCTATAAATTTACCCAGGGAGGAAAAAAATAAAAAAGGAAATCAGGAGATTTACACTGGTGGTTTTTAAATATCTGTGAGGACTATTGATTTGTTTTAACCCAGGAGGCAAAACTAAAGGCAAAACCATTATAGGAGATCATTAACCGTGGAAAGGAACTCAGACAGGTGGGCTAGATTAAAAGAGGATAGCAGATTCCTGCTTTAACCAAGCTCATTAGCACACGGATTTAGATCTGCTAACAGCCAAACTATATTCCCTAAATAGAACAATAAATCCATAAGCAGAATCAACCTGTGACATTTTCCAGTCTCAGCACCAGAAAGGCAGGGTCCAGGAAGCTAAGCAAGAAGGGGTTGGGGCGGGGGGGTCCATGCAGATGAAATCATATGCTCAGTAATACATGCTAGATGTGCACAGGGATGCAAAAGGCCTTCGGTGGAGATTGTCTCTGTGAAAGTAACAATAAGGGCTGGGGATGGGTTGGGAATGGCCCCAAATTACATCACGTCCAAGAGCACAGCCTTGAGTGCCTGTGGAGCCCACAGAATCCTCTCCCTCCTCAATGCCTTCATTTGAGAGGATGTAGGTTGGGCTCACCTGGAAGTCTGTAGGTGACAGGTCTAGGCCAGGCTGTTGGATGAGGTTGCTTACTGCAAAAGCATTATTATCCCTCACTGGTAAGCACATAGCCCCCCATCTTAAAGGATATATTTGTGAGGCAGACATTCAGACATTAGACAGATTGGGCAGGAAAGGGTACAAACAGAAAGAATAAGCAGGAAGCTGAGCTGGGGAAAGAGAAAAGGAGGAATAATGAGCCAGTGCCCAATCATAGGGCTATTTCTAAGACACTCTAGTAAGGGCCTTCCCCTGTTAAAGATAAATTACTTATAGAACATGTCAAGCCCCTGATCCAGAGTGGAGCCTTAATACTGTTTGCCTGCAGTTAGAAATAATAAGATTTCTATGAAGTCTCTGGGTCTAAATCCCCACCAGGGTGATTAAACCTTTACATCCTTCTAAAATAGAGGCACTTGAGTGCTGATGGGGCATACAGTATGAGAGACTTTTCGACCAACCTTCAATAAACAGAGGCTCTGGGTTGCTGGATTTTTTTTTTTTTTTTTGAGAGATTTTAAAATGGAAGCTGGCTCTCTGCCCATTGTGGGGAAAGGCCCAATCTCTTCTCAGAGGACCCTGGCTGAACATGATCAGAGAAACGGCAAGTCTGCTCAGGAAGACTGATTAACATGGATGCATGTCTATACACTGTTCTCAGAAGCAAGTACACAACAGCCATTAGGAGAAACCACCCAGAATGGCACTTCTCAACACCACAATCCAGAAGGCATGGTTAAGCAGCCAACAGTCTGACAGCACCATTTGGGTGCATTCTTCCTTCCGTTTTTGGGATCTGATGATAGCAGATTTTCAATTATACTTTAGAATAGAGAACAGATAAACAAATGGATAAAAGGAATCCACAGAGGATCTCAAAGTATTACTCCAGCTAACAGCTTCAAGAACAAGATGTATCTGGGGACTTCAACACCCTATGAATCTCAAGAATTAAATCTAAACACCAGACCCAAACACCCCCTCGCCAAGTTAAATTAAAATGAAAAAGGCTGCCCAAACAGTGAACATAGTGAGAAATTCTATAGAGATAAAACACAGGGTCATTCATCTTCAGGAGCTCTGCGAGGGGACACTGGCCATTAGGGCAGCAGGCTGAGAAGAAGGTGGCTCAAACCCCCTCCAGTAGTACCATCCTGCTTGCCCTGTCCTTGTTTGCTGTCTGGTCCCTCATTCCCATCTATTTTCCCATCAGCACTGCAAGCTGAGCACAGTGGACAGATTTTGGTTTCACCTCTCTTTCTCCTTCCCCTGTCCACACTCTGATGGAGGGCCTAAGGACAAGCAAAATAGCCAAAAGGCAGGCAAGGCAGAGGAGCAGCAAGAGAGCTGGTGGCATTATAATTCACAGGGGATGCACAGACATACTTACGACTCTAGCTAGAAAACCCTGTTAGCGGCAATTTATACTTGGTTTTTACCACAACAGGGCTGGGGGAGCCTCTTGTGGAAGAAGCATACCTCTGGGCACCACCGTGCACTCAATATTAGATTTTATAGCTTCACACACACAAAAATAGAGTACCTGCTCTATTCTGCATGGATTTCAATGGAAGAGCGTGCCCCAGAAGGGACAAGTGGTTAAGGCTTTCCTTGAAAACAGAGCTGTTGAAGGAGAGTTGTTTTTGAAATTAGGAAGGAAAAATGTAGGAAGACAGTGAAGTGAAAGAAACATGCTTTGACTTTTTTGTTTACAACAGGGGCGGGGGGGCAGGGGCAGGGAGGGATGCAGGAGAGGTGTCAAAATCTTACCAAGGGGTTGACAGTTCCCCATTTGGAGCCTGTTTACACATTCTATCAGAGAGTCCACTTGCAGGGTCTGTGGCATCTTCAATCATTTATGCATGCAATCATTTGATAAATGCTTCCTCAGGGTGCAAGGCCCCACAATCAAGCTGGACCTTGGCTCACCCACTTCCCTGGGCCTAAGAATTCTCAGCCATCAAAACCCAGCTCAAAAGTCCCCTCCCCTCTGAAGCTCCCTGATAACTCTAAGGAGCCCTGGTGGTGCAAGTGGTTAAGCATTTGGCTGCTAACCAAAAGACTGGCAGTTTGAATCCACCAGTCACTCCCTGGAAACTCTAGGGGGGCAGTTCTACTCTGTCCTACAGGGTCACTATGAGTCAGAGTCAACTAGGTGGCAACAGGTTTGAGTTTCTGGGTTTTTTTTTTTTTTTTGGATAACTCTAAATGAGTTAAGATTTGTGCAAACACTCTGGAAGTCAGTTAGGCATTAAGCAGCTACATGATATTACTGTGCAGAACCAGGGCTAGTGCTCCATCCTCTGCTCCCAAGACCTACTAGAAGCATTGATTTTATATGGCCTTGAGCTCTCTCCAATGTTCCTAAAGGCCAGGCTGTCCCCTGTCCACCTGTGTCTCTCCCACAAGTTATGGCATGATGTCAGACACATACCAGCCACCAGAAATGTGCACTTGAAGTGAAAATTATACGAAATGAAGCACATGCTAAGTGCTAGGTACAGTGCATGTCACACCAGCCCTTTAAGTGCCAAGTGCACACACTGAAAGAAACGCGGGTACACTTTTACCCTGCAGGCAACGCAGAGTAAAGTACTTCAGTTCTAGGAAGTCCCTGACAAACTCCCTCTCAAAAAAAGCCCTAGGGCCTAAAAGGCCCCTAACTTTCTGCCCAGAAGCCTGGCCCTGGCTTCAGAACTGGGCCATGTGTTTGTTATTTCTGAGAAGGAAGCGAGCACCTCTTCTAAGTTTTCAGACAGACTCCAACTGGTCTGGAGGTTCCCAGCACTTCTGCTGCCTCCAGCCCTTGGGCAGGGCTAAACAGCTCAGCAGCTCAGTGCTCAGCAGCCCACATTTGTGTACACAGGTGGAGGTGGAGCCGTAGAGGATGCACACTGCTGACAGAGAGCACACACTGGGCTTGGAATCAGGAGACTAAGGTCAAAGTCCTGTTCAGATATTACCAGACACAGCACTAAGGCCAAGTTACCTTGCCTCTTAGAGTCTCAGTTTCCTAATCTATAAGTTTAAAAATAATACCTGACCTGCCCACCTCCCAGGTTTAGCGTGAGGGCCTTATGATGTACTTAACATGAACATGCTTCAAAAAACTTATGTGTGTGCACAAGTATGTTTACACACACAAACACATACATAGTAGCAAGACTGGAAGGACATACACAAAATGTTAATACTACTACAGTTTTAAAGAGTGTCTACTATGTGCCAGACAATGTGCTAGGTATTTTACATACATTAATTCTTACAATAATCCCATAAGGTGAATATTTTTTCCATATTTCATGTGAGGAAACTGAAGCTCAGAGGTTAAATAGCTTAACAAATGTCAAACATCTAGTGGTTTAACTGGGATTCAAACTCAATGCTGCCCTTTCAAGTCCAATTTCTAATCTACAGTAGTTTTCTGTGCATAATGGGTGATTTTAGTTTTTTCTTTGTATTTTTCAATATTCTACAAATGGTATACAATGAAATTTATTATTTTTATGATCATGAAAAAAATACTATTTTTATTTTTACCTTTTTTAAATCCTATTTTTAAAAGGCAATAAACCCACAGCCGTCAAGTTGATTCCAACTCATAGTGACCCTATAGGACAGAGTAGAACTGTTCCATAGGGTTTCCAAGGCTGTAACCTTTATAGAAGCAGACTGCCCCATCTTTCTCTCATGGAGTGGCTGGTGGGTTCAAACCACCTACCTTTTGGTTAGCAGCTGAGCACTTAACCACTGTGCCACCAGGGTACCTTAAAAGGCAACACTTCATAAAAACAAAACAAAAAAATGCACTGAACATTTGAGCCTGATAAGTTTAAATCCTGGCTCTCCACCACTGTATGAACTTTGGCAAGTATCAGTTTGTTTAAAGATAAAATGAGGATAAGAGAAAGGCCTAGCAAGTAAATAGAGACCAAAGTTTATTAGTGGTTTCCAGGGGTGGGTAAGAGGGAGGGAGAAACGAAGATACAATGCTTAGGGAACACTGAGCTTCTGTTAAGGGTGATGGAAAAATTTGGGAATGGTTAATGCTGATGGTTGAACAACATGATGAACGTAATTAATGTCAATGAACTGTACATGCGAAGATTGTAGAAACGGCAAATGTTCGGTTACCTATATACTTACACAATCGAAAAAAAGAGTAAGGCCTGGATTTCCCATATCACAAGCCTGCTGTAAGGAGCAAACAAGAAACTAGAC